TGCCGGGCAAAGCCGAGGCTCGAGGTCCGCCGCGGCCCTTTTTCTTTCAATCGGCCCTGGAGAAGAGCCCAGCCGTCCAAGGAGCCGGCCGCCTAGCAAGGAGAACCAAAAAACCTCTCGAAAAGCTGCAACAAGAAAATTTGATCTCATTTTAGGGTTGACTTGATTCCATGTGAAAAAAACCCGAAAAGCAAGTTCATGTTTTAACAAAAACGGGTGCCACCGAAGAATATACTCGATTCGAGAGTGTGGAAAGGGATCCTAAGGAGTCTTCATCTTGACAGGCTCCATCAGGGGTAAGGTTGCCCACTGGGGAAATCCCTCAGACCGGCGCCGCGATGTACATGCGATCAAGCAATTGGCCAGGATTTGACTGAAAGGTTGGCTCAGGTGGGGAGTCAAAGGAATATGCAGAGCATGTTCGACGTGCTCGAAATCAGTCGCAACTTTCGCTCAACCATGCACCAGGGAACTGGGTAACTGGGGAGCAGGGAGGGAGGAATCCCCGCTCCCTGCCTCCAGGTTTTTTTTGCTCCGACACACCAAGCAAGGACTGACCAAACGACACACTCTTTTCAATGAACCTCTGAACAGGAACAAACACACTCATTGGCTTCCAAATTTCTAGATTACATCTACCAGGGCATTGGAGGGTGTGTGCCATGGGGGGTGGGCTCTCAACATACCCTTGCCTTCAACTCGAAGTCCTCGTAAGCCTGGAGAATCTGACAGGCGGACTAGGGAATGTATGGGGGTGTCTTTTTTTAAGGTGGTGCCCTTTTTGGGGTAGCTTCAAAGGGAACCGGCGGGCAAACCGAAGCTTCTTTTCGTTTTTTTTTTTTCCCCCATTTTTGTTGGGGGGGGGCACCTAAGAAAACGCACGCGCACACACATGGAGTTACTCAAAATGGTGCTTCGACCCTTTTGAAAGGGACACCAAAAAAGACGGCATGGACATTCTGCAGGAACCCTCTTGAGAAGCACCCATGTGTGTGTGTGTGTGTGTGTGTGTGTGTGTGTGTGTGTGTGTGTGTGTGTTTTTATGAAGGGTATCTTTTTCACCCCGGAAGGAACCCCAACCGAAACCAACGGTTTGGGGTCAAAATCACAACCCACTGCACAAATACACACCTGTCTGTCATACCTGCGCACAAAGGAAAAACAGCTGTCATCCCCGGACTCGTGCAGCTGTTGAAGCTGAACAGCGGCACTTGACATCGACACTTGCAACATCTTGTGGTGTTCATTCAGCAGATCAAACTAGTTTGGCCCTCCAGCATTGGCGGACGCTGAGCGGTCCTTCCGCAGACACACCGCCACTCACAAAATGTATCAAAACACATGGCTATGTGCCGGAATAGAGGGACCCCGCGAGAATGGCTGGTTTCCGTTTGGTCTCCCTGTAACACCAACCAATAGAAAGCACCGTCAACAAAAACCCAAATTCTTGCCGTGCATCTCTGCCCGCCAAAAGTTCACCTAGGGTAGCAAATGCTGCCTCAGGTTCTACAATGGGTTGCCGCCAATGGGGAGCTCCCAGAATGTGCACTTTGCTGAGCTGTTCAACGAACAAGAGCGTACCGCAAGCAAACCAAAACGCCGTGTTCAGCGGGCGCCTCTTCCACCTGCTGCTGCTGGAACTGCTTCATGCCGGCAAGAAACACCTCATGAGTGTCCGAGCTGAGCTGGGCCCAAGGGCCGAGCTTGTGTTTCGCGGCGTTCCTTGTTTCGTCTGTGACCATCTGTATTTATTGGTTTGCTTGCTCGTTTGTGGTGTCTGTGTGTGTTTGTGGTGTCTGTGTGTGTTTGTGTGTGTGTGTGTGTGTGTGTGTGTCTGTGTGTGTGTGTGTGTGTGTGTCTGTGTGTGTGTGTGTGTGTGTTAGTGCTTGCTTGCGTGCTTGCTTGCGTTGATGTTTTGCTTGATTTCCTGGTTTCCTGTTTCTCCGTTCCTGCCTTCCTTCGTTCGAAGTGTGTTGTTTGCTTCGTGTGCGTGTGTGTGCGCGTGTGCGTATGTTTGTCAGGGCGCGTTCGTTTGCTGATTATGATTTTGTGTCTTTTCTGTTTGTGTATATGCGCGTTTATGTGCATTTCAGCTAAACGGCATGTCCTGGAGGCGCTTCTTTCAACAAAGGAGACAGGACAAACAAAGCTCTTGAGAGGGGCGCTCATCTTGACAATCCCTGCCTTGATTTGTGGTTCGAAGGACATTTGAAGACAAGCCATCTGCAACCAAAGGGACCAAAACCACAAGTTCCCCCCAGAGGTTCCACACATGAGCCAATTTCCAACTGCTATCCTACAGTGAAAGGACATGTTGACCGAACTTTGCACGACTGACGTTATTGGCTCTGGGCAAGATGTCGATCATCATTTTGGGTGGAATCCCCTTTTTTGCCCTGCCACCTCTGACCCGCAGGAGTATCCGGGCTGCGGGCCGCGCTCGCGGCTGCGGCGAGGCGACGGGGGGCAAACCCAGCAAGCACATTTGTGCATCGTCTTGCTTAGTAGCCCTTCGTTTGATTCAGGCTAGGACGAGGCCCAGTGTGTGGTTGCGGCGTATTGCCACTGTGAGAGATCACAGTGGGAAGCGCCTGCGCCCAAGCACTGCCGCTCGGATGTCACGCTGGCCCGCCCTTGGTGCACGACTAATACGAACGGGCCTAGGCAGAAACACTTCCCCTGGGTGACACTTTTTTGGGTCTCCGAGCCTGAGGGGGCAAGTGGAGAAAGCGATGACGTTTACGGAGCCTCTTGCCAGGAGGGATGGTGCCTTAGGCAGTGACCCACCTAGCGCCGCAGCTTTCGCTCGCTCGTTCGCTCGCTCGCCCACCCACCCACGCACTCACAACCAGCCGTCCTTTGCAGGGATCGCTTGCGGTGACATCCCCTAGCAAAAACTAACAGGTATTCACAACATACATATTCTCTTCCAACCATTCACACAATGCATTCGCAAGAAGTCAAGTAACTATATCTATGCTCACGTAACTTATATTCCGCATTGATCATTGTCCTTGTTGTCAACCCTTCGCCTCCCGCTGGAAAAAGACACATCCGAAAGAAATGACAGGTCCCTAGAGGAAATCCATCTTCTACCCACAAATGCCCCTCCAATACTGGGCCCCTCCAAGAGAAAATTGATATTCAAGGCACCTCCCCACAACGCCCATGTCTCACTGGAAGGCCCAAAAAAAAGTCCAAACTTTCTATTTTCCACTCAAATTTGGTCTCCACAAAAAGGAAAACCATCTCAGGCACCCAGGAAGTGAGATGTGAGGGCCTTGCGCCCCGGTCTCGCCTGGCCGTGGGGCTTCAGCAGCTGCCGCACTAAGCCAGCGGAGCGACAAAGCCTCGAGATGGCTCCCAAAGTCGGCCGAAAGTCGGCGCAACGAGTTGTGGGACCCGGCAAAAACACATGGGATGATCGGGAGAAATGGAAGATAACATGGGAGAACTGGGAGACATGGAATGAATGGGATAAGCGGGATACATGGGGATTAACTGGGCTCCGACCCAAGGTTGCCAACTACTTGGGAAACATGGGAGCAAGGCCCAGTCAGTGATTGAAAAGTATAGAGTCAACACAACTTAACAAATTGTGGGGAGCATATCATGGGATAAACTGAATAACTGAGACGGATGGGACAAATGAGATAGATGGTTTAGATTGGATGAATGGGAGGAATGGGAGGAATGGGATGAATGGATACATAGGATAAACGGCACAAATGGGATACAAAGGATAAATGGGATGACCAGGATAAACGTATAAAGGGATACAGTCAATGGAGCAAGCCGGATAAATGGGATCAATGGGACAAATTGGATAAAAGGTATACGCGGGACAACTGGGATCAATGACACACGGGATACATGGAACACGTTGTGTGAACGGGATAAACGGAATACATGGGCTAACATGGCAGGATTAGCTGGTTTCCAACCCAAATTGGCCAACAACTTGGAAGAATGAGAACAATCCCCACCCACTGATTGCAAACACGTGGGGTCAACTACCCTTGACAAATTGTGGGTTGAGCATGTCTCTCCCTGGCACCCACAATTCCGGGATAATAATATGAAATCAAACGAGTCCCTTGCTTGGGCTCTACATAGAGGACGGATGCACTGACCTGGCCCTACTCGCGAGATAGTTGGCAAGCTTTCGTAAATGACAAGGCGGCATCGGTCAACATAAACTAAGAAATCTGAAAGCGGGGAGCGAAGATCCCAGATTGTCACAGTGCTACATAATGTTGACCCCATAGTAATCAACCCCAGTTTATACACAGGGGGGGTGTTCCCCTCCAAAAGTGATGATTCCCCACTAGACCCAGGGACACCCCTATCAATAAACTGCGGTTGATTAATATGTGGTCAACTTTAGAAAGACAAGAGACCTGCAAAACAGTGCTCGAGTCCCAACCCTATTTTTAGGCGGGACATGACAGCATTTGCCCCTGAATGCTTGGGTCCCCGCGGGCCCACGACAATGTTGGCGAGGACAAGATCAAACTCCTCCTGCGGCGTCGAAAGCAGTGAAGTGAAAGCGCAGTTCGCCAGATTGCAACTGTTGGTTGTCGAAACACATGCTTAAATGCCAAAAATCTATCCCTAAAAGCAAATGCAAGCCCTTCCCTACATACATTGCTGTGACAATACAAAGTATGGCAACATGAGGAGACGAGGTGCCATGGTGCAGCAGCTGGACCCGGGCCCCAAAGTGCAGCTCATGCGAAACCAGGAAAAACGCTTTGCTCCTGCAAGTTGCCGCCCAAAACGGATTGGGGACTGCCGGCAAAGTGCGCCTTCTCCAGCGAAAAACCTGCACTCTTGCCCGTTCATCAGCAAGCTGATGTATGTCCCAACTATGGCCAAGTACCAAGGGACGCTCCGATATCAGTCCCTTCGAAAGGCCGAGCCAGGTGTGTGCCCCTTGGCTTCCCCATGCCAGTGGCTATCGCGAGGGCGCTACAAAACAGCATTGCTCCGTGGTGTAACAGCATTGCCTAAGGGAAAAGTGAGTTACCACGGTATCGCCACTGCAAAGGTACACAGAACAGTGCAAATATATATATATATATATATACATATATATATATATAACTATATGTAAAAATATACATAATGTGCACGATATAATTAGGCACACACAACATCTTGATTTGGGGGCAGCGGTTTGGGGGAAGTGGGGGAAGCTGCGCAGCCACTTCCTGTCCTCCACCACCAAAGGTGTCCAGCCAGCGCCCCCTCTGCGCCAGTCGCCTAGGTGGCGCGGCTGAAACACACCGCTGTCAAGGTGAGTGTGCAATGGGCGTTTTTTTTTTTTGTTGTTTTCTCCTTTTTTTTTTTTTAAATAATCTGAGTGCAGAACAGTGCATTGCAAATTTTGTCTTCAGATAAATTGGAAAACATTCTCTATCTGAGACATGACAACATGTTGACAGTGCATTTCACAAAAGGCCGGTCGTGCTCTTCTTTATCCGCTCAATACAGCTGCCTTCTCAACGGATTGGAGTCTATTGGGGAGCACATTCTGTTGCCGGTGAGGACCAAGTGGACTGCATAAGAACTATGCAATGAGTTAAGCAAGGCGCGTGTTCTACTGATAGCAACCAAAGAAACTCATGCATGACTTCAAATCATGTCGCCTATCCTCGAGTCAAAACACATGAGAGGCAACACAGTTGATGGGTCGTATGGAGTGTGCAATGCACAGTGTCAATGTCAAGACCTGCAAATACCGTGATACTTCGTTGCAAATCAGTTTGCCAAACCCAGCCCCAACTGGGAAACACATGGAGTTAACACCCCCTCCATACACTCTTTTGGCCCACTGATATTCTTTGTACCCACAAGTGGCACTTCCCCCCCTCCGCACATTAGGTAGGGGATCACTTGCGCCCAAATTGCAAAGTCTGTTTGCTTTGGACAAGGCAGTGCCGAACGCCAGCAGGATACAAAGCGTCGACGGGAAGCTATGCGCAGAGGTCACTTGGCCTAAAACAATGCAAAGACATTCAGAGTCATGCACTTGCTCATGCCAACGCCGATGTATTGAATCTGAAGCAAGCGTTGATGGGATGCGATTTGCCATCTTGTCAAAATAGCCTGCCCCTAGATTCCTTGTGAGCGCTCTGCACAATTATCGGATCCAGGATGATTCACTAGCTCTGTGCTTGCTTTAAAGCTACACTGACGTGGAACCAACATAAACATGTGTGCAACACATATGTCTTAATCCATCAAGGCTCAGTGAAGACATTTTAGCCCCATGATCTCCATACGCGCAAATTGACGCGGCACCACGTACCCAGCCTCAGAAAGAGGTCCTCTGAGATACAGCTCATCTGTGCCCATCTATCGAAGCCATAGCCATATGAACTTGTAGATGAATGGTTCTTCTAGGTCTTACGGTACAATACCTCAGCTGTGCGCCTGTGTTCCCAGATCTTTGTTGCTGCGTTCGCAACAGAAACACACATAGAACCAGGTCGACTCACCCATCGGCGCAAAGCAACTCGAACGCCCCAGGCGCCGCGCCGTAGCGGGTGTAGAAGTCCAAGTCTTTGTCCAGCACATCCTCACAGCTTTAGCGCAGATATAGTGTAAAAGTCATCCACTCCTTTTGAGGGACCCGCCATTTTGGGTTCCATGTTAATTTGCAGGGTACATTTAGCAGCTTTCATCAATTCCATGGGCCGATTCCCAAATTGCTTCATTCAGCGGGGGACAAATCGCGTTGATTTGAGAGCTGGTCCTATGTCCAAGCAGGACGCCTCTGCTTGCAAGCGTCGTCATAAGCTCCATGACTGACCGGAGACAGTGTGCCCTTCAAATCTCGCAAGCGGGAAATGGCTTCAGGATTGATCCCTCCATCATTGTGAGTAACAACACCAATTTCCCCCTGGTTTTGAGCAGGTTTTTTACAGACATGGATCCTCGAACAGTTTGGGGAAGGTACTTTTAGAATTGAATGACCCCTAGCTAAAGGTGGTTGCATGCAAACTCCTTTCATCGGCTGAGACGGCCTCGAGCCGAATTGTGGGTCCCATAAGCACCAATTCGCTTTGTCGGTTGCTAATCCGGCTCAAAAGGTCAACGAAATCATTTTTAGGGGCTCACTTCTGTTTCACCAAACAGTTCACCGTCTTTTCCCATTGACCTTTTAGGGCATGAGACGGTCCTTGATCTCCGGTGCTTCCTTTTGCTTCACCCAACCCGAATCCGCTCCGAAAAAATCGGCCGCTTCGAGCTCCCCGGCCAGGGGAGGCAAGTGGAGCCGAAGCCGAGGGAGGCCTGGGCGCTGCTGTTGGGTTCCCATTCGGTGATTTTCTAAGGGGAACAACCACCGGAGAAAAAACAAAAACAAAAACACAATGTCTGGGGTTGAGAAAAACAAAAAAGCGAGAAGAAAAACACATTAAACAAAAGACAGGCATAAAAACAGCTCAAAGAAGGGGCGCCCAGAAAAGAAGACATACCCGCAACAAAACACGCAAGGAAGGCAGGAACATGAGAACTGCTAGCAAGCCATGGGTGTCATTTTGGAGTTGGTGTGGCCTTTTTTTTTCTTTTTCCGGAGTTGGCACTCATTTTTCGGTGGTTTGAAAGGGAACCCCAAAAGGGAAAACCACAACCAAACAAAGACACAGCCATACGGGTGTGGCCTAGTCCTTTCCATGCACCCGGGTTTCATTTTGGGCCCACATTTTTGAGCCACAGCCACTATACCCACATTGACACGCAAGGAACACGGGGAGATGACAACTACTAGCATCCCCCAATGAAAACTTCTATGGATCACCATAGCTCTACCACAATTCTACCGGGGTCGCAAGTGCTGACCGGCACCAACAAATACAAAAACATGCTGGGTAGAGGCATGAGGCAAGGCTGTTGGCGACCTGGCTGCCTGACCGCAAGAGTGCGATTGCACTGTCACTAAAACTACTCAACTGATAAATGAAAGATCTCACTCTCAACATTGCCAATTTCACAGGCGCCCGAGAATAACGAACAAAGGTTGCGAACGTTTCTCTCAGGGGCTGATAGGGTAAACTCAAGCAACCAGGCAGGTTCCGGGGTTGTAAACGTAGCCCATAAATTCACGATCTTTCAACTGCAGGGTCTTTACTCGGCTGCTCGCTCAAGTTTGACTCGAAAAGGACATCTTCCATTTGCTTTTTCGCCCCCTGGAACAATAAAAATATGTCCAGCAGTGAAATCGACTCCCTTTACAACCAGCAAGGGAACAGTTCACAAAATGCTCTTCAGCAAATGGACGCCGAACAGTTCGCAGCAAGATGTCCGTGCCAAGAGGCAGTCGTTGGCCTCTGCATTCTGCTGCGCGGCAGTGAGAGCTTCTGGCACATTGTCCACCTATGGGAAGGAGTGACTTCACCACAACACGTTCTTCAGTGCTTTAGATCTTTTGGGAATGTCTGTTTTTGGAGGACCCCCAAAATGGTGGTTTTCCCTTTGCTTTTCCCTGTACAAAAAAATAGGGTGCACGAAAAAACCACACACCCATTGTTTGTCCTCACCTTGGATTGTGTTGGCATAGTCTGAACGTGACGTTGTGTTCCGGGAATGCTTGAATGGTTTTAGAAGTGAACCATTTAGGACTCTGTGAAAGCACAGACTCCAAATCTCTCCGGTCCAAAACTCAACGTTGAAACATTGGACAAGAACAACTTCCCTGAAAGGTGCCCCAAGATCTGACCACAAAACGGCGATGCCTTTTGACATGGGGGAAGTGGGTCTCCCTTTTTTGTTGCGTCCGCAACCACGAACAAGATACATGCAACTATCATTTTCCTTTGGACATAGTCCAGATGAAACAATGGATGCGAGAGGGAACTTGGTAAGATCTATTGCCCAGCTCGCCGAACTTTGTAAGAGGCCCACCTCCAGCGCCCCAAGAATCGAAGGCACCAAGTGAAAAAAAACGACTCCACAGGCAAGCAATACTCTACTTGCTTCCATCAATGTTCGTTTTCAACCAAACTGACCTTTTCGCGACATGTAGTTGGTTTATTTTGAGGCTTCCATCCCAGGATAGGGACGCCCCCAAACTGGATGGGTGTTGCTTGTGGTTTCCCTTCAACACCACCCCCAAAAAGGCCCTCCAAAAACATCCCAGGACTTTGTCAATCCATGGTGGCTTTCCTTTCGGGTTCCCTTTAAATCGCTAAGCCACCACATGCACAATACCAAAAAAACATCTTCTCCTTTTGGTTTCCCTTTAACACCACCAAAAAACGGGGGCGAGTCCGACTCCAAGCAAAAACAACAACGCCCAGCCCTTTGGCGGCCGGGCTCCCAGGCAGCTGCGCGCACCCAGCCTTCCACCCAGCGGATTTGGTGTGTTGGATTTGACACGGCCTGCGATTTGACGCTCCAAGCAAAAGACACACCCGCCTGCGAATTGCCTTTTGCTTGTTTTTTTGATTCTCATATATTATGTCTAGGGCTTTGCAAACATGCGGCCAGCGCTGCAAGACTTAGAACGTGGTCACGAGAGCTGGCGAATCAACGGCCCTGCCGTCCATGCGCTTCGTGGGCCCCGCGGCCAGGGATGCCGAAGCGGCCACTGTCGGTCTCGCTCTTGGTGGCTTCGCTTTTGCAGGCTTGACGGTGGGTTAGGGGAGCAAAAATTCAAGCAAATTTTAGCAGCGAAGTGGATTGGGATTTCAACCACTAAACTGCAAGAAGATCAAACATGGGAAAAATGTGTCCCAAGGACCACCAGGTTTGGTGGCTCGCTTTTGCCGGAAACTAAAAGGAACGCCCCACTTTTTTACTTTTTTTTGGGGGGGGGGTGGCCGCTGCCGCCTTTCCCCTTTTTTTGGGCGTTCGCTTCTTGGGTGGTTTTAAAGGAAACGAAAAGGACCGCCCACCAACTTTTTTTGCTTTTGTGTTTTCTTCCTTTTTTTTTGGGGGGGGGGAGGGCCCCACCCCTACGAAAACAGGCGCCCATCTTCCGTTCTGCTCGCACAAAACGCCGCGCCAAAGCTCGCCGCCTCAAGGCAGACAGGCCCAGGATGCCGCTTCCGCAGCCAAAGTCCTCGGCATGGGGCGTCAGGCTGATGCTCGGATCAGTCGGACACAAGGGAATGACATGGCCACAAGCGCAATAGTGACATCTCTGCACGATTTGATACCCAAGCTGATGTGCCAAAGAACAGACATTCTTTATTTCTACACAAGCAGACTGGGCTTGCAAGCGACCGGAGCATTGACGGAGAATTCCCCACGCTTCTGGTCCACATGACCCCCGGAACCCGGGCCCCGGAACCACCCGGGCCGCCCCGCACAGGCGCTAGAGATGGAGCTCCAATCCAAGTCCTGGGGATCCGAGGCCGCTCAAAACCGTAGCGAGTTGCTTACGTCTCTTGGAACTACACATACTGTGGGTGGACGAACTCTTGCACCGCTTTGAAACCAAGCGAAACCAGAATGTTTGTTGGTATTTGCAGGGAATCATCATTCCACGGTTTCTTAGGTGGTGCAGGATTTCGCCCATCCACAGTATCACCAGTAGATTTCCTAAGCCAAACATAATGTGATGCAATCACTCCTAAGCAGTGATTATCACAAATCTACAGTCAGTCCTTGTCATGGTGGAGGCTACGTACACGGGCCCGTATTTCAAGAGAGAGTCATTGTGGCTTCCGACCTTCTGTGGGGCATCCCCACATCCCCATATCGCCGAAAGCGGACTCCGGAAAATGGTGGTCCTATTCATGTATTTCCGTGCTTAACGTGACTTGCCCAGGTTTTCCACCAGGTTTTCAGCAACCAACAACACCAAGAGCCAGCATTTGCCCAAACTTAATCAGGGAGGCCAAGAAATGAACGAATCCGTCCCTCTCTCAACTCCCGGGTTTCGTTCCAGTCCTGCATGGCTTGCAGCATCAGCGCGGTGGTGGGATGCTGCCCAGAGCCGAACGGGCCCAAATTCACCAGCCTGGAAGCCACGCCGGGGGGGGGGGGGGGGGGGGGGCTCTCGTCTGTGTCACACAGGGTGTGCCCCCAGATTTGTTTGCTGCCAAGGTACACGCAACTTCTGGCAGAATGGAGAACCAACGCTGTGAGGGTTCAGAACAGTCGGGAATAGCATGTGTCGCTGGACGACGCGGTGCAAGGAATGAAGCTCACATCAAGGTGGACCAGAACTCACTCCATACATACGCATATTGCACCACAGGGGAGCACCCTGCAACAATCAATGTAGGTGGCCCAGTGGAAAGTATCAGGGTGGACTAGCAGGGGGCTTGGCAGCGCAAAAACCAGCAAAAGCCTGCAACAAAGAAGCTTGCAACCAATTTGTCGCAACGCCCACGAATGCTCGGCTTCCCTAAAAAACCAAGACTCCGATTTGAACAACATGAAACCCAGTATTTTTAGGTCCGACCAGATTTAGGAAATACAGCTAACCAAGTTGACAAACATGTTTGGTCAGGAGACAAAGACCAGGCAGCAGCCTCTCTGTCCAGTCCTTCGGTATCATCTGCACAACATGAGTGAGATCTTGAATCTATTTTAAGTGGGTGTTGATACATAGCGCTGTGGGCACTGGGCAGTTGCTTTCATTATGAATGTAGGCAGTGCGAGCACTGAAGCCAACAGTCCGAAACAGGCACTTGATCTTGAGCAGCTTGAGCTGTTGATAGCATTCACGAACGCTGACTCTCTCGCCAAGGGTCACAACTCGAGTAGCTTTCCGCTTCTGTCAAACACAGATCTCACCTCCTGAGTGGATTGGCCAACCAAAAGTCTGAACTTTTCATTTGCAACTGAGATGATTTTTCCAAAAGGCTGTGGCTCAAAATTAGACAGGAGGGGCAAACCGCGGGTTTTGGTCCATGTTTCCACTTACCAGGGCAAGCGATTTTGGATTTCCGTTTTTTTGAGCCACAGCCAAAAAGCTTAACGTCCGAGTTTCGGACCTCAGGGAGTGTGACATAGATATCCCTTACCAAAAAGAATCAAAACCCCTCAGCTTCACGATGCGAGAGGCCTCAAGAGAATCGTCTCCGGCCCGGGCTCTTCAGCCTCACGGCCCCAGACAAGAAGCACACGACCGGTTTTCTGCCCAGGCTAAAGCGGATCTCAAAGAGCCTGTTGCAAAAGACACACAGGCCCCTTCTGCAGCAAAAAAAGTACCTCTCTCCAAGACACAGCCGTCCTCCCTTTGAGTGGTTCATATATTGGTCATGGCCAGCTTCCGAAGCGCTGCGGTTGTTTGTCTCATCGGTTGCAACTCAACTGGAAACCGATTCGGTCCCAACTTGGCGCTCCTTGCGGCACTTGGGGCTGCCAGTGGAGTGATATTCTCCCGTTTCAGGATAGGAACAGCGGACCAGATTCTCTCTCTCCGAAAAAGACATGGGCCACTAGGGCTGGACTGATCTTTGTGAGGAAATTGAGCTGTTCCAGCAGTGGACAACTAAACAACGCGGCAAATACTTATCATCTTGTTTACCTGAAGAGTCTCACTTCCTGAGTGGATGGTCCAAAAAGTAACCATCTTTTTTCAGAAAAAAAACACTTTTGGGTGGTCTTTCCAAAAGGTATAAAGTCGAGGAACTCAGGGAGTGAGGAGTATTTCGAACATGCTTGAAGCCTCGTCTGTTGTTCTAGTTTGTACTCACACCTCCCCCTGATTCAGAACCCTCCGATGTTCCTTTTATACAAGCACACCCGCTCCATTCACACACCCACACCGCACACACACACACACCCGCGAGAATTGAAGGGAAAGCTATGGCTCCTTCCTCCTTTCATTTCAATCACCAGCTGCTTCTCCTCGGCGTTTGGTGCCTTTCTGATAAAGCTCCGCTAAAGTGACATCCTTAACATTACTCTTTAAATGGGGGCTTATCGGGAACCCACCCCGAAAAGCTATTTGAGAACCTCTCAAACAAAACTCGCCCCCGAAAAAGAGCATGGCCCACAAGCAAGGGTCCTCCCAAAGGAGATTTATCTGCAAATTGCTTTGCGGTTCACGCGATTTTATTGGGCACATTTATTAACTACCCCAAGGTAGATGCAGAAACCCCAAGGTAGATGCAGACACCCCGGGGTGGTTTTGCTTTCCCCCCCCAAAAAAGGCCTCCTGGGTTTCAGTCTTCCCCACAAAATGCGCTTTGACACCTGAAAGGCCCCCCGACCTGCCTGGGCCGAGGGGAGCAGCACTCGTATACGGCCCACCTGGCAAGGCTTGGCCATTTCTTGGCCTTTTTTTGGGTGGTTCACAATAAGAAGGGAAACCACCAGTCTGGGCGATTCTCCTCTTTTTAGCCATTTTTGGGGTGGTTCACAACAAAAAGTCTGGGCGATTCTCCGTTTGGAGCCAAACCGAGTAGGAAGATCAAGGGAAAAGCGCCCAAACAAAAAGGAGTGCATAGATGGCTCCCGACCGCCCAAGTCCCACCCGATCGGCCTCGACCACATCGTCGGATGTCGCACCTGGCGTCAAATTGGCAAATGCCTTGATGCCCAAGTAAAACTAAGAAGCACAACAATTAAAAAGGAGGAGCCTTTTGCTTCCATGGCCACTCTATAGTTATAGGCCAAGGGCGCCCCTCCCAATGCCCTACCTGAGAAGAAGGTGGGGGGGGTCGTGGGGCGTAGGGTCCCCCAGTCCCGTTGGGTTTGGCGTTTGCCCGAATACAGCCAATTGCAACGCCTGGCGTCTCCGCTTTGACCGGCGCGGCCGACTGTGGAGACTGCGTCCTGCCAGTGGATGGGCGAATTCTTGGAATCAACGGCTGGCTTGGGGCAAGTGCAAGCCGTTTTTCAGAGAAATTGACCGGGAGAGACAGTTTGCCGACCTGGGGCAAAGAAGCGAGCCCAGGCAGACATGTTGAGCCATGCATGAAACTCCTGCAGAACTCTGGAGAGCCTTTTTCCCCCTGCCAAACGATATTCCTCTGCAACTCATCTGTTTTTTGGGTGCAGAGGAAACTGGACGCGAGTCTGCCAACCGCGCAACTCCTGCCAAAGAAGCGTGGGGGCTGGGGGTGCGCCAATGTAATTAATCTAGCCTTCCCCATCAAAGGACACATGGAAGCATTGATGGATAGCTCCAGGGTCGAAATCCTCCCTCCCGAAGTCCAAATGTTGTCTTCGATCAAGACCACAGCCAAGACAAGGCGAACTCTGGGGTGCACCAAAAATCAGTTCCTCTGCTTCTGCTTCATACTTCGTGAACCGTACAATGACACGACATATTTCTTCTGTGGAGACCCCCGAAAAACGTGTGGCCTAGGAATGAATTGTCAACTCGACCGGCCTGGCGAGGCAGGGAGACCAGTCCAAGAAGTCCCCGGAAAGCCTGCGACTTCAATCGGCGGCTGGGACAAACAGAGTAGAACCCACTCAGGGAGTCCTCCAAACGGAGACTCATCTTTGAGGAAGCTTTTCGGATTCCATCTCAATCTGCAGGGGAGTAAGCCTTAAGTGGGCACGGGCAGCACAGCCTTTTGTCTGTGGTTGAAAAGGGTGTGTATCCCTGTACCGAGAACACGCCGCTTGTGGCTTGTGTCAACGGACCTCCCGCCGACCCCGACTGCCCAGGGTTGGAGGTTCAAATTTCTGGCCCGCCTTCAACCACTGATCTCTGATTGGATCTTCAACCACTGACCGCCTTCAACCACTGACCGCCTGGTTTCACAGAAACAGAAGTCCACTCATTCCCAAAGGCCCACTGAACAAGTACCCCCCCTCCCCCCCCGGAGCTTTGCAATGACGGGCTTGCATCTAGGTGTTTGTCTACATGGGGAACCCAATAAATGCTGTAATATTGGCAGTTTCCTTTTGGTTCCCCCGAAGCCGACGCCCAAATGGGTACTAGGAAACTCTCTGCGGCGAGTGTCTGAGACCCCAGCGAGATTTGAAACACCACCACCCGCTTCTCCGGGAACAACTCCTGCATTGGATGGGCTTTCAATTGGCGGTGTATGCCCCTCCTCATTGGAAGTGCTGAAAGTATTCTGGTCAAGTTTTATTATAAGTTACCAACCTGCTTCTTCCGCCTTGCCACTCGTGTGCGTCTGTCGGCCGCGCGATTGCGGTGCCGGCCGCACCATCTTATATTTTACCCACCAAAAATCAAGGATATGGGCAACATGGGGTCCTTTCCTTCACAAGAACGGTGAATTTGACCCCCTGCTGAGACTGCCATTTGATACCACACATTGTTGAAATGCAGAACCAGGCTTTTCCAACATGCAGCCGGAAATCCCCAAATATCGACTTTCAACACGACCTTAAGACTGCCATTTATTTGCGAGGAGGATTGAATCCCGGTTGGCACTTTCTCGCAGCTGGATTCAAGCAACACCAGGTTGGCTCAGCATAATGTTGACCCAGGATTAATAAACCCGTCCCATTGTTAGGGGGGTGTTCCCTCCAAAAGTGATGAATCCCCACTAAAGGGGACACCCCCTATTCATCAACCAGGGGTTTATGAATGCGGGGTGAACATTAGCCACTGCATGGCCCTGGCGGCTTAGGTTTTACCATAAGGCTCCTCTAAGAAGCCGCCGCAGTCGTCCTCCAGCGGATCCAGATCGCTACCAGCCTCCGCCGGCCTCAAAGCAGGCGGGTGGCGACAACATCCGCTTCGCACGAGTTGGTCGGTGTCCAAAGCGCGTGGGTCACAAATAGGGTAACCCAAGATGGAACCCTGGTAACTGGAAGCATGGACTACAACCTGCGGTTTGCTGGTGTAATTTTGATCCATGCCCGTTTCATCCATCCCAACTGGTACACATTTGGCCATGGGTCAAAATCCCGTACCCCCAGTGAACATCCCAATCTCAACTAAAATAGACTAAAATGGGCGGTGCACCGACCCCAAAATGGTACCATTGGTTTTGACCCACAGCCATTTTTGTCTATCAGTAAAAAAACCCAAATGGCCGAGGTTCCTTCTGATGTCAACAGTTCGAAAAGTGGACTGTCAAGTTGAGAACATGCGGCTGTCAGTGGAGCCTCAAGAGTGCGTGTGTGTGCATAGCCTTTTGACTGAGAAGTGAACGTGCTAGAAACTAGGGCCCACAAACACCAGGCAGCTAAGACGACCCTGCCAGCAGGCAGACCCCGCATGTGTATGAATTCAAGTGGGGACCCTTCAATGGACATGAATGCTCGCCAGCCGCTTTTTCCATTTTTTGTTTGGGAAGCTTTCCCTATGAAAAAAAATCCAGTAGCCATATTCATATATATCGAAGCTGGATGTCCATGTTCCCATCGGGACGGGCAACACCCAAACGCCTGGCGGCGCCCTCGGCTGCGACGACTCGATACTGCAAACCTGGCCAAGGCGGGCCTCTCTTTGGGGACATGACCCCCAGCTTTTGTTTGGGTCATGGAGACTCCAGGTGCTTGATGGTTCCCTGTAAAAAAGACGATACTTGGCCTTTTTGCAGAAGGGATTACTTGATCGCCCCGGGAGCCTTGGCAAATGATAGCGACTGGTTGCCTTCTAGGCAGCCCGAAAGCTTCCGAGCGAATGTCATTGGGCAAGTGCCACGGATTCGTTCTGGATTTCACTCAGATGTAAAAGGAGAGCAACCTAATTGTGGGCGACTGGAAGAGACGCTTTGCTGGAAGCTTGAGCCTCCCTTTCATTTGCTCAAGAAGCGCCGTGAGCATGACGTACTTGTAATATACCTGATAAGTTCCATCAACCACCTGAAACCGTGAGCAACACCTCAACCACATGGACTTGGCGTCTGCCATTGCAACCCTCTGACTTGTTTCTCACGTGATGACCTTCAGGATGAAGATACAGGAGGACGCTTGGTAAACGCTGCAGATTAATATGGTGGACCATGTTGTGGTGGCAGTCGCTACACGGCGCCCATGCGGAACCGTGACTATCATCTCTTGTACATTAGAAAGGTGCTGAAGCTTTCCTTCCATCCTTAGAAAGGTGCTGAAGATAGCGGCTGTTCAGGGCTTTTGTGCATTTCCTATATCCCAGTCAATTTGGCATCAATGTTTGCATTGGGTACGGCTGATTGCAAACTTCTGGGGATCTACTTACTATGACCACATTTGCTATTTATTCAGGTCCTCTCACGTATACTGGCGTCACTGACCACAAGTCGCCTTGGGAGACAAGTGCGAGTTGCAACTCACTTCCCCCGTGAAGCCTTCCTTCCAGAAGCCAAAACTACACTTGTGCCTTGCTGTCGGATTTCTCGGCAGAATTCCAGGTCAAAGTCGTCCTCATGCCCGGTTCGGGTCGGCCACCAGAAATGGTGCCAGAAATCTAGGCAGGCACACACCCCACAAACATCCTCCAGGGCAAACCCCACAGTCTTCCATGAGCCGGTTTCGGAGCCTCTGAGCTCGTCAAAGACACGGATCCATTGATCAGTGTCATCCATGCGTTTCTGGCAGAAATGAAATCGTTTCCAGCATTCACTGAACCTCCATTTGCTTGAGTTTCGTGGAACAACTAACAATATTTCCGATAGTGATAGAGTTCCTATAACAACACCAGAAAAAAATAATTAAGCAAATGGAAGTGAAGCAAGGCCAAAGGGACCCTGAAACGAGAGAAACCTTCTGCACTCAAACGGGACCAGGCGCCAGGCAAAGCGATGCAAGGTGTGGCAGTAGAGCATCGTCAGCTGGGGGAACCTCGAGCCCAAAACCCGTTCTAGAGCCACCCAAATAGAGCTTTGGTGTAGCATATGTCCTATCAAACAAGGGGATGTTCATCATGCGCAATTCCATCGGGGTTTCGCTTAGGCACTGCTCAGATTTGTGTGTTGCAGCTGAACAGCACTCGGATCGGCGGAGTTTCTGGGCCCTTCAAACGGGGGAAGCCACCTGCGTCAAATGAAACTTGGTATTAAGATGGTCCACCCAAATCTATGCAAGGCCACTAGCAGGCGGAGGAACCTATTTCCGGCTGCTGTCTATTACTAACCGTTATCTACACGGGCGTTGATTGTGGCTCACCTGAAATCACCCACCGATCGAGCGAATAGTCTACCTGATCGAGCGCCAAGTTCCCTGCCCATGAAAATCCACTATGGTCAGGGGCATCCGATGAAATGATCGACTTGACGCACAATGCAGGCACAAGAGTTTGGAGCACTGTTGGCCATAGCATGCCATAGGGCCAAAGAACTACAATCATCCATCAAGTATGGGCGAGGAGTATACAGGCCTCAGGGAAACCAAAGGAAGAATACTGGATCCAAAGACTCCTCACATATGGCGCATATGTAGTGGAATATTCATATATATATATATTATTCCAGTACACATTTACCGTGGGCTTGGGCCCCGAACGACTGATTTACCCATGCCGGATGCCTTGAAGCCATGAAACAACACATGCCTTCAAGCCGGGGGCTTGCGGGAAGATGCATGAGACTCATTTGGGCAACCTACATTTTTCGCCATTCTGAACCCAATCCTGTCCAGAGAGGGCCAGGATTGGGGAACAGCCGGTCTTTGAAATGATGCTTGAACAGAATGCTTGGACGCATCCCAGAGACAAAGATCTGATTGGAACGCGTAAAAAACCACTCGCTCCGCCCAAGAAGTCCTTTTCCAAGCTTGTGGAAGTCGCGAAGCCGCGCGCGTCCGGTGCACGGCTCTTGAGACCACATGCCCACAGGAAGCTTTCCACGGGCAAACGCCATGAATGTTCCAGTGACCCTGGTAGTATAAGGGAATCATTTCTTTGATTGACCACTTTGAGTGGAAGGGGAAGGGCACTGGACAACTGGGATGTGCACCACACCCCGAATGAAATCACTTTGGCACACAGCTCCATTCAGATTCAGCCAAATCCGCGCACACGAGATCCTCTCAACAACACATTTTGTGTGAATTTTCCAAGAACCCCTGACCCAAGGGCGGACAGCATTTGGGGATTTATCTCCACCGCTTCTGCAGTGGTCTCCTTAAACAAATCGCAACATGGGGCTGCTGAAACTTCTCTCGATTGGATCTCTCACGCGAGCCAAGGGAGTGGTTTGCCCCCCAGCGAGGAAGCTCACTCAGTACCTGGGCAAATCGCGAGATCGATTGATCCCACGGCAAATGGGATCCGTCCCCAAACCTCGGCATCTTCTGCACTCTTGAAGCAAGACCTTTCGCGCCGCCTCTAGGGTCGTCGAACATTGGAGGGTTTCGCTGCATCTCAATCTTGTTTCTGAATCCGCAATCCGCCATGGTATATATCTACAAGGGGAACTCATTTGTGCATTGAATCATTGTTCCCTTGGATCTTTTTAAATGAAGCGACACATCAAACAAACAAAAAGCCACACGGCCAACACCCAGTGCTTTCAGCCCTGGCCCCAAGCTTGCGGGACGCTGCCAATACTTTTCTGCAGTTGACAAACGGGAAAACATGTCCTGGGAATGTCCGTTCAATGCCTTGAACTTCCCCTGATGTCCCTGGAATTTCGATCTTCGTTTGAATATCCTTTCAACGTCCTTTGAATGTTCTTCCCAACGTCTGCCATGATAGCCACGACGTCTATCATGGTAATCGATAGAGGGTTTCTCGTGGTACCCTCAAACTTGCCTTGGCAACTGACAAGCTGTCGTGGTTGCTGTCCTGGGGAAGCCCTGGCCAGTAGATCGCTGCAGTTGAACATGGCACCCCAAAAGGTCTGGATTGGAGCTACATCCGGTTAAAACCGTCTGACCTTCCCAAAGCGGGCGAGCTTACAAAAGAAAGCATCTCTAGGGCCACGCCTGAGAGTTCAACAGCACACCGAGCAAAGATCGCTTGCAGCGCAGCTCGACGTGTCTTGCCTTCGATTGGAGCCTCGGGGCGTGTTTCTCACCTCATCCTCCACTGCGCCGTAGCCCTTCGTGTCCTCCTCCTTCCCCAACTTTCGGTCCTCACGGCTCGCGGCCCAAAGTCGAAGCCCCTGCCCACCCTGAGACAAAGGGCGAGCCGGTGACGCTTTGCCACCACTGAACCTCGGTTTCAGCATGCCCGGCGGTTCCTTCAGATTTTCGCCTAGCCGACTCGTAAGGTGTCCTGGTTGGTTGTTGGGTCCAAATGACTTTGGCTTGGGACCAAGCGAAGGTCATGAAGCTGTACTGGGATTCTTGTTGGGCCAGAGTTGCAACTACTTTTGCACACGCCTTTGCTTGCGCGTGACCGCTGGGCAAAGGGCTGGGATGGCGCTTCAACCCCTGCGCACCTTGACGAGATTGTCAATGATCCAGGACCAGATTGGATTTAGCAGAGTGGGAGCGATCACCATCACGAAGACGAGCTCCTGCGGACCGGCCCCAGACCCAAGCGGCATCTCAAGCCACATCGCGGCGACCTCCAACGAAACAGGGACTTAAATGAGCATATGGCCATGGGTCACATCCAAATCGTACCCCCAGTGAACATCCCAATCCCCACTAAAGTAGACTGAAATGGGCGGGGCACATACCCCCAAAATGGAACCATTGGTTTTGACCCACAGCCAGATAATAATGAGTTTCTATCTGTGTGCTCCTTGCGGGACCCTAAAATGAGCCCATAAATCATACACGTTCCTCACATTGTGTGATCCCGCAGCACTTCCTGGGGACGAAGCTAGCCGCAATGGACGGTATTGCACACCCCCACACTGGCAACGCAGCGAGTCTTCATTTCAGGCACTGCTCTGTCCACTGTGTGCGGTTGCTGCTACTTCCATTTGGTTAAGACCCCTGGAAAAAAACAAAACTATTTCCAGTAGTGACAGATTCCCTTTACAACCAACAGGGGAAACAAAAACCAAAAAACAATCTTAAGCAAATGGAAGACTACCTGTCAGTTCCGAAGGATGACAAACCAACCCAACCTGCTGAGCTCGTGACCCTGAAAATCCTTCAGAACCCACCAACCCAAGCTCGATGTTTGCCGACTCGAGCTCAGACGCCCTAAGGCCTTCGGCCCTTTTTATCGGCTACGCGCCCAAATGGCCGCCAGCGACGCCAAGGTCACTGCGAATATTCGCAAAATGGCCAAAAAAAGCCGCAGGAAGTTCATGTAGGCCTATTTGATTGTATATATGTCACAACATAATGTACAAGCAAACTTCTGAACAAATACTTCCATTTGCGTTTTCGCCCCTTGGGAAAGATATTTTCCAGTAGGGATAGACTCCCTTTAAAACCTGCAAGGGAAAACAAACACGTGTCCTTAAGCAAATGGATGAATGTGAATGTTCCGGTGCCAAGATTGTGACTCGAGGCTGCGGCTAGCTGTTGCCTCGCTTCGGCCTGGGCCATGCTCGCCACTCTTACGCGGTGACGCTCCCATCCGCAGTCTATACCCGCTCGAACAACCATGGGTTCATTTTCCCACCACTGTTTACCTCAGGATTGTCATCCAGATTGGGTCAACCATTGATTTCATGGGAAGGAACCCAAGGGCACATGTAGCTGTCCAACCCAAGTTCGGAATCTCCAATGGCCTTAAAGTAGCCCTCCAACGACTCGGAAATCTCGGACCACGGAGCTCCATCTTCGGATTGCGCTTCCAGGGCTCTTCCAGTGGCGCGATGGCCGCGTCGATGCGGTTGTGCAGCGGGAAGATCACGGTGCCTGCCTGAAGCCGAGGTCTTGAACATTTCGGGCACAAATTTGAAGGGTCACTTACATTCGAATCAGGTTTGGGGAACATTGGAAGGTCCACTCCATATCCCCATGAAAAACATCTTTTGCCCTGCCCCTGGTGTGTCAACCCTCTTGAAAACGAAACTACTCGAAAGTGGCGAGTCAAAACTTTCCAAAGCAAAGCAAAGTGCCGGGAATTCTCTGCCCGGGCGCTACGACAAACTTCTCCATGCAGCAGACGAAGCCCCAGTAGCAGGTTTGCGCCTTGCAAACCCAACCGGGGCGGACAGGCTGGAATATCGGGATTGTTTCTTCTTTCCTACAATTAACATGGGACCCAAACTTGGTTGATGTTGGAAGGGGAGCAACCATTTTAAATTTTAGCAGTTAAGTGGGGATTTCCAAGAAGGATTCCCGATGCAAGAAGACCATGGCTAAACTGGAAGCTGAGTACAGATTTTGAGTGGGTACAGACCCCCTGTGGCACCCTTTCGGTTATAGTCAATTTTGAAGGGCAACTGCTGCGAAAACCCCGAAAAAAGGAAGCTGCGCTAGCAAGATCTGAGAGGGGCGCCAGCCAAATCCGAAGATCTGGAGGATCGCCATACCTCGAACGGATTTCCGCGGAATTTTCGCCCAACCTCCTGAAGAGCATCACCAAAAGGAACCCAGGTGATGTTCTTAAAACCAGGGGAAAGGTAGGACGCCCCGCCAAGCGTGTTCCCAAAGAGATCCCCTCGATCTGGACCTCGCCTTATCCCACCGGCATCCCACTGGCAAGGGAGCAGTTGAAAGCTGGCGAACCTGAGCGTTCCTACGCCCGACCGATAAGCGAAAGGTTTGCTTTCGGGTCGCATCTGGCTACAAAACATAAGACGCACATGGCTGGCAACATATGACACCTGCAACAGCGCAGGGCCATTCGGGGCTCGGGGGTCCATAAAAAGAAGGAGTCGACGCATGGGCCCAGCATGCTCCCAGGACAAGCCCCTAAGAATCATGGTGATTCCCCAGCATGAAACACATTCTCAACACAACAACAACGCCACGCGGCTGGGCAACAT